GGAATCTTTTATAGTTGATAAGATAATCGCCTACAGTTGAATTTTCCACTAATTTTAAAAATTCCGGGTGTCCCCGCCGCCTCTGTTTTCTGTGTGTGCAGGAGGATCGCTGTGTTCTTTCTTTCTGCGCCTTCTCACCTCTCCTAAGCATCTCGTCCCTTTCCTCTGCTGGTTCAGCTGGTGGGAAACCAAGTCCTCCCCATCCGGATAAGCCGGGCCGGTGCCCACAGGGAAGCCTGCAGTCTACCCGTGAGGGACTGGCATTCGGAGAGACACTCGCGTCCCCTGCCTCCTTACCTCCTCCCAGCCCCAGGGACAGGAAGACCAGCTCCACTCTACCTGGTTCTTCTGGGCCCTCCCCACGTTGAAGACGCCTAGCATACTTATGGGGGGTTGACCCCCCCAATGCCTGGGCCCACAGATTTCTGCTCTGCTGTTTATTCCAAGACCCACTGAGCCTCGGTCCCAGGTTCAGTACTGCCAACGCTGGCTTTGGGAGAAGAAGGTCACATCTTTTTTCTCTATCTAAGACCTGGTAGAGCCCAGGGTCTCACTAACATCTCTTTAAAGATGACAAACTCTTTCTCATGAGCCTCCCCCGCCCGCATCTGATTGTTAGACCTTCTCCTATCAGTACAGTCTCAGCAATCAACGCTGGTGTGGATGGGATCACCAGGATTGCGTTGCGATGATGAGGGTTAAAGCGTGCAGTTATCATCCTACCAAGATGGCTGTCTGAACACGATGGGTTTCTAGATTCGGGTCAGGAAAGAGTTTGTTAAGATGGTGAAACAAAATCCGGCATCCAGATGTGTCTGACTTCTGAGGCTGTACACCTGAGACCTATCTTTCTACTTCTCACATTTAATAACAAAATTTCAAGTAAATCTCTAAAAACGTTTGCAAACTCTGCTTTATTCATCTGTAAAGACAGACAGAATTTCATAAGTAATGTTTCCTACATGGGTATAATTCTCTATTTCTCCCAACATTTTTGAGGTGATCGGATCTGGCCAGGTACTATTTGAGGTGCTGTGTGTCAGCATGGGGCTTCCCGGTGTGAGGATGAGCAGCGGTAAAGAACCTGCCTGCCGATGCAGAAGACCTAGGAGGCACGGCTTCGATCCTGGGTCGGGAAGATCCCCTGGAGGGGGACATGGCAACCCACTCCAGTATTCTTGCCTGGAGAACCCCACGGACAGAGGAGGCTGGGAGACACAGTCCATGGGGTCAAAAAGAGTCGGACACGACTGAGCGACTTAGCACACATGCGTGTCAATATGTATTCTCCGTGTCATGTGTGTGAAACAGAAAAATTAGTCGATATATATGAAATAGATGATCACATGGATTGATACATATTCATTGTAATACAAATGAAAATATTATCCTTGGATGTATTAAAAAAGTAAAGGATAGCAAACTAAATTGTATACTAACTGAAAATAGTATTAAACAGAAATTTCTTAAAAATACACACTTAAATAAATGCGTACCCAACAGAATTAAATCTGAAAGCAGTCACACTGCAAATTGAGGACAATTCACAAATGAAACTGAAGTCTTACAAAAAAAGATTTTTTTCCCAAAAGTAACAAAACTCATTTTTGGTGCTAGAGGTTAAGAACCCACCTGCCAATGTAGGAGATGTTAAGAGACGTTAAGGTTCGATCCCTGGGTTGGATGATCCCCTAGAGGAGGGCATGGCAGGCCACTCCAGTATTCTTGCCTGGAGAATCCCATGGACGGAGGAGCCTGGTGGGCTACAGTCCACAGGGTCGCACAAAGTTGGACACGACTGAAGCAACTTAGCACTACAAAAATTAAGCTCCAGTAAATACACACACTCTCTTCTTTCGAATATAGCCATTAAGAAATAGAAATCAACGTTGCCAGTCACCGGCATCAGGTTTTGTAGAAGAAGTAACCAGATCTGTCTATGTTTAAAAACATACCATTACTTTCCGGTTCAGTTAGACGATTAGCACTTGGCCTTCCAAATCAACTTTCACTGTAATGGCAGCATTGATTGAATGTATATATTTCCATCAGAAAACAGAATCCTTTTTTCTCTGTAGTAGTTATTTGTATGCAACCATTTGCCATATTCTAAGTACTTGAGGGAGCCAGTTTTACCTGGATCTATTTTTAGGTACCTCTGCATTTCTGGAAGGAATCCATTCTTGGATCCATTCTTGGATCATCCAAATCTTTATGAAAGATACTTTTTTTCCCTCAAAGAAATGGGTATAGGAGGGAGTTCCCAAACCAGCTAATTCCTCATAGGATTGTTAAGCCAGAAGTTAGTTAAGCTTTCCGAATATCTTTGAGGTTGTCAATATAAGAAGCAAGCGGTCACAGAGCAGATGTCTGTTTTACGCTGTGATTCATCAGTCAGATAAACTCCTGACTTTAGTTCTATTCAAATATCCTCTCTCCTGTTCCTGTCTGCCCTCTGCTGAGTGGTTGGGTCAGGGGACAGAGGACTCATTTTGTTTATTCAGTGCGTCTTGGCTCTGTTTATTCAGTGCTCTGAGAATGCTGGGCACTCCAGGTGAGAAAAAGAAGTGGGTGAAAAGGAATTGAATCATGGCAGAGAAGTCTTGGCTCAGCTCCAGCCCTGAATAAACATGAATGTGACCAATGAGTCAATGACTAAGGACTGTGTCAGATTTGTTGAACAGATTTTCGGTTAAATTACTGTCACACCCTTTCCTCTGCAGGAAACAGATCCTAGATTGATGGAGTAATAACTTCCTTTTATTCCTCTAGTAAGAAATTCGAGAGCACAGGAATGCCACTTCATTTTCTACCTGTTTTCTGAGAAACTGAATCACATCATGGGCATGGGGGACCTCACCTGCCCATGTCCTGGGCAGGGCCTCCCCCTTCTGCCTTTGGAGGAGGGAGCTCTAGCTGGGGGCACCCACTGGTGGTCCAGGACCACGCGGGATGCAGGCAGACTGCTCCTGGTTCTCTCCGAAGAGCTGCTGAAGGCACAGCTAACTTCTTATAGGAAAGTATTTCCTTTCTTTTCTGAACTTTTACTGCAGAACATGGACAGAAGTGGCCTATCTGAAAGGGAAGGATGTCCACCCACAGAAAGACACTGCAGGTGTCCAGGATGAAGAAGAGAGGAATCGGTTTCCAGCACTGCCTTGAATTCTTTTGTTTTTCTATGTGCTTCGGTGCTATGAATGTGTGATAAGTCGCTCAGTTGTGTCCGACTCTGCCAACCGCGTGGACTGTAGCCTGCCAGGCTCCTCTGTCCATGGGGTTCTCCAGGCAAGAACCCCGGAATGGGTTGCCATGTCCTTCTCCAGGGGATCTTCCCAACCCAGGCGAGTTCTTTACCACTAGTACCACCTGGGAATACATCCCCATATAATCTGGGAGAGTTCCAATTACTTTCAGTCAGAAAGCAATCCCCAAACTAATCCTCTTTTGAAAAACTGAACTGTTATCTGGTGTGTTTTATCCTGATTGACTGGAAACAAGAAATGTCAGGAAGCTTGTGTTCCATAAAAGATTCTACATGCCCACTGACAGATGACGACTCCCACCAGCGAGATGGGACCAAGGGAATCACTGAAACACTTTTTCATTTTTTTAAATAGAAAAATATTTTTAAAAGTCATTTTAAAAGGTCTTGGAGCTTGCAGGTGCAAAGGAAAAAATAAAGTCCCAATAGATAAAAATGACTAAGGCTGATGACATGACACTTAGTGAGACATGGAGGAAGCAGGCAGTCCTGGCAGGTAACTCGGAGACACCTGGTCAAGGTGAGAACGGGTCTTATCTCCAGCAGGTGGGTGCCCGCGAAGCCCTTGCAGCTATGCCCAGGGAAAGGCACAAAGACGTCCGTTGCAGCAATAATGAACATATTACAACTGAATAAATGAAACATTCCGTTCATAAAATGGATGAATAGATTCCACATAATGAATGGATGGAATGAATGGAAATGGAAGCATCTTAAAGGTAGCTTGTTCCACGTTCCTGGGAGTCTTGTTAGGATTCTCAGGGACAGTTATCACCCACCCAAACAGGATACTGACTCACAGGCCACACACCACGTCCCACGATAGACTTGAAGTCCAAGCCCCTCTGGGTGGAGTCGCATGCACCCAGGTTGGGTCATATGTTTGAGTGGCTCGAGTGGGCTAATGGGGAAGAGCAGATAAGCTCCTCTAGGAAGAGAGGAGTTAATGAGGGTTCCCGGGAACCCAGAGCCGGAGAAGGCCGCTTCTCCCCCATCCAGTGTGCTGGGGGCTTGCAGCTCCAGAAATATGGACCACAGAGGTGGGAGGGCTCCTGCAGCCTGGCCCGCCCATGAACGGCTGACTCCCAGCCCTGAGTCCCTGGAGGAAGACCTCAGATTTCTCCTGGAAACGGCACCCACCCACGTAGAAAGACTCCCCCCGCGTAGCTGATCTAAACAGTTCTCCAGAATGTAGGCACATTCCGTTTATCACATCGCCAAGATAGTAACGGTGCAGAGTACCTCTCAGTGGACCTCTGTGCCTCCTTTGAGGACACTTCATTTTATTTCCTACTTAAAGACTTAGTAAATCACTCTCCAGTGGAGCCCGCTTCACCGCTAAAGCACTTAGCTTATTTGACCTTCACATGAATTATCTTTATCACACTTAGCAGGAACTTATTCCTGTTCTTTCCCCCTTCCCTACAAAGCCACGTGGCCCCAAGTGGACCCAGGCCTCTCCTAATGCCTGAGGGGCCGCTCCTTAAACACCTTCCTATCTTAAAATTTCCCGGAGTGTGCTGGTCCGAACTGCCAGTTCCCTCCCCATCAGATCTTCGGGGGGCCCCCGGCTCTGTGCCTGAGTGTTCTGAGATGCCATTAAAATTCTTACAAAAACTGAAAGTGAAATGAGGAAGGCCGATTGAGCAATCGGATAGAAGGGTGAATGCCAGGAAGACCTAGCCTACAGTTAGGGCAAGAGATGCAGCCGCGGCAGAGAGAAGAAAATTCAGGAGAACGCGCCCCAGGGCGAGCGCGGCCGGGGTGGGCCGTGCAGTCAATGTGGGACATCAACAAACCCAGATAACAGGAAATGATCCATTCTCTGCGATCACTCAGGCTAGGGGCCCCAACCTGCAAAGTTCAAGGAGGGAAATGGATGACTCCACCGGGTTGCAGTCCCGCCTTTCTTACCCTCAGACCAGAGAAGAAATGAAACTGAAGGAGGGAGGCTCCGTCCTGCCCCAGGAGGAAAGCCCCTCCGGCCGGTGCTCCAAAGATGGAAAGCTGCTGGCCGTGACCCTGCTGCTCGCCGCCTCGTCCAGCTGCCTCACGGTGCTGGCTTTCTGCTGGGTGGCGTCCCTGCAAGCGGAGCTGGGCAGCCTCCGGGCGGAGCTGCGGGGGCGGCCGGGCGCCCCCCAGGCCGGGGCCGCGGCCGCGCGGGAGGCTCCCGGCGTCACCCCGGCCCTGAAAGTGAGTGTGCCGCTGTAGCCGCAGCCCCCCACCGCCGCCCCCCGCCCCCAGACCCCGACGCCCCGGCAGTAACGTGGTGGGGCTTTTCTCTTAGCAGCGGATCTTTGCACCCCCAGCTCCGGGAGAAAGCAATTCCAGCCAGAGCGGCAGGAGTAAGCGTGGCCTGCCGGAGGCAGAAGAAACAGGTACGTTTGCGGGGGAACAGAAGCGCCCAGGCGTCCGGGGTCCAGGGCCCAGGTGAGGAGGAGAGCATCCCGCCTGGGAGAGGGGCGCCGAGCAGAAGCCGGAGGCTGGAAACGGCATCCCAAGCCCGTGCGCCCCCCAGGGCGGAGTCAAGCCCTGGCCAGTGTCCTGGGCTGACCGCGTGTTCCGTCCGCCTGTGAGCAAGTTTCGGGGGCATCCGTCTGTGCGGCGGCGCTTGGAGCACGCAGGAGGGGAGAGGGGCGCACCTGTCCCCTCAAAGGGAGAGCTCGCGCCCACGTCAGGAGCACCGTCTGGCATTCCCCGGGCGGGGGAAAAGCGCCAGGAGCTAGTCTGGAATGAGGTTTGGTCCAGACGAGGGGCAGACAGCATCTCCGAGGGGCGTAGCTGCGGCGAAACCACGTGGAGACCGGGCAGGTGCATGTCGGTGCTCTATCTGATTTCTTCCCTGTTTAATAAGAACCCTATTTTACACACTGGGGCACAGAGATTTTAAAGCTTTTCCTTATTGTAATGCTCTTGCAGGAGCTACACAGGTTTATAATCCACTGTAATAGTTCTTCAGTGATTTCTACCTGCTCCCCAGACATCTCAGATTTGGGGGGAGGGGCACCCCAAACCTTCAGCTCCAGTTCCGTCACGTCAAGGATGGAAAAGGGAATTTGCATTGCTTTACTAATATTGCCATTTAACAGTCCCTTCCTGCTGTCTCCCTTGTATGTTGCAGGAGCATTTTTTAGCCCCGAGAATGTGCCAGGCTTGTATCGGGAGAGGTGTCCTCCAGTTTCCTTTAACCTTAGTGGTGACTGTGAGCAAACCGAGCAGGTGTAATTATTCACCTGTATTTGCACTTTGAAGGAGAGTGCTCGAGAGACAGATTAGGTGTTCTGCCTCTCTCTCACACACACACGATGCTCCTTCTGTAAATTTATTTTTCACTAAATGCCTTATTCATGGAAAAAATTCTTCCTTAGTTTTATACAGGAATACATTTTGTATCCGGTCGTCATATCTCCGTGCCAGTTGTCAGAAGCAATTGGGTTTACACATTTTAAAACTGGAAAACCCTCATATGTTTACTATACTCTAAAATCCTTATCTTCATATTTTGCATTTTGTCATTCATATTTTCTGCATAATTGAAAAAATATGGCATATATACCATGGTATATTTTTGTGTTCACTTATTACACAATAAGCCTTTTCCTTATTTCTAATTCTCACATACCTATATTAATTTATTTGTTATCTTATAATTATCATGATCATTTCCAATTTTTTTGGTAGAATGGAATATGTCAAAATTTTTGTGCAAATCTCTTTGTTTCTGAGGAATTTGATGCATATACTCAATATAAATTCCGTAGATAGAATGTCTGAGCCAAAGAGTATGAACATCTTTATCAGCCTTGCTACCTGTTGCAATATTGTTTTCCAGATGAATTATAAATGAATGCAACCAGAAACGCAGTGTACAAGTTTTTCACATCCTTTCACATTTTATCTTTAAAGATGTATTTTGGCTAGCTCAGTAGTTGAAAAACAGTGCCTCGAATTAAATTTGTGGCTTGCTTACAAATAAGAATTATCTTCTTTTCGCATATTTTGATAGCTTCTAATTTTATCCTCTACTAATTTTTATTTATAACTTCCCTCATTCATCTGTCCTATTTTTAAAATGATTTTGAATAAACTCTGTATTAGGCATCTTGTTTATCAAAATTTTGATGTAAATGTTTTCATAATATTTTGCTGCTTTTTAGAACCTGTGCAGAGATCTTGCATCTGTATATTTTAATGTGATACCCTTTTTAAAATTTTTCTCTAAGACATCAAAGTTAAAATACATATTTATCCATAATCTCTTAAAGTAGTTTGCTATTTTTTCTGCCATTTTGACTTTTTTCTAATAATTTACTGTTGTAGTTTGGTATTAAATCCATTAGTCCTAGAGTTTATTTTGGTGGATCATGTTATACTAGCCTTAACTTCTCCTTTCTTCTTTTGCTTTTTTCCTTCCCAAGTGTTGCTAAATATCTAAAGCAAATTAATTAGATGATTCTTTTTTAACTCATTTGCATTGAAACACTTACTATATTATATTGAGTTCCTCATATATAGTTGAATCTATTTTGAGACTGCTTTTTGTCATTGATTTACCATCCTATTTATCTGCATTAAATATTTTAAGGAATTTTGTAATATAATGAGCTTCAATATCTAGTAGGGTGAGAATGCCTCACTCTTCTTCTACCTTGTCTGCTAGTACTCCTGCCTGTGAATTTATTATTAAAAATAAACCCTAGCTCTCCCATTCCAAGAGGACTTAGACTCATTACAGGAGATTTAAGAAGGAAAAAACTGAGTAAGAAATCAATAACTCCCTAAGTCCCACTTCCCCAAAGTATGTTCTATTAATATTTTAAAATATCCTCTCATGTGAATGTTTTTTCATATTTGTGTTTCTAAGGCATCCAAAAATGGCATACTCACAAAAATTTTTCCCCAAATAACTTTCAATTTTTAGAAAATTTGAATAATAGCAGAAAATAATAACCAATGATAAGAATCCACCCAGTTTCCATGGCACAGTTATAATCACTATTATCAGTATCATGATTTTGCTCAGATTTTTATAAAACTTTAATGTAGCATATATATGGCATACATATATATATGTATTATATTTATGTACATAAATTATGTATATATATATATAGTACATACTGCATATATATGTATATATATACAGCATATATACTGTATACTTAGTTACATGTGCAGTACTTACATATATATCTCTATGTCTCTCTCTACATATACTTACAGCATTCATAGATCCCAGAGGAAAGATTTAAAGATGAGAAAATGCAATGATAGTTATTATCAGCAATTCTTGTCAATAAAATTGACTTGAATGTTATTTCATTCTTTCATGCAGGGAAAATGTCATTTTGTTTAGCACTACTTTAAAATTTTTATATGTATATACCAAGAAGTTTGTATGAAGCTCCATGATTTTTCTTTGTTTTCTGTTTGGTAAGGTCCTTCTTTTGGAATTGAGAAAATTCTATGCAGTTTGAATCTATGCAACTTTCTTTGGTTTTCATTTCCATTCTAGTTGTGACTTATTTTAAGTAAAACTCAAAAGCCTTAGGTTATCCCTTTTAGTTTTAAAATGTTAGTTTTCATTTCACTTATTAGCTATCTATATATGTTTAGATGCATTTTAATGGAATTTTATAAAGCCTGTAACTGAAGAAAAATGAATTTTCACATTTTGAATTTATCTATTCAAGAATTTTTAATATCTATATTAAATATAAAATTTAAAATTCCATAATAAGGCAGTTTTCCTTATATAGGTTTCACTATTCTTTCATGATTAATTTAAAAATGTTACTGCTACTTTGGAGCCTTGGCATTTTCAAATTGCTTGTTAAACTGTTTAAAAAAATACAGAGTTTTCAAGTAAATGATATATAGTATTTGATCTCACACTTATTTTTAAGCCACACCAGTACATTTAGTGGATTTATAACTAACAGAATTATAGTATTCTTCTAGATTTTCTCTAGAATATTCGGCTTTCTCAACATCAGTTTTGTCATCATTTTATAACCATGCCCAAAAGTTTAACAGCTAAATGTTGCTAAGTAGTATATCAGAATGTTACCCATTCTTATTTTCCTATAAATCCAACCCAGATTTCAGCAGAAATCTAAATTTTATTGGGTGTATATTCAATTTGTAAGTCAATTCCAGTATGTTGTGGCCTAGAAAGTCTGACCTCTCCAGAACACAGCAAGCCTAGTTCTTGCATCAGTAGCTGATACTCATCACATTATCCCTAGGAAGGTTCTTTTCATTTGTGTGTAGGCTGTCTGTGCAACTAAAGAGCAGAGCCTTCTGTGGTCTGGTTCCTTCTCTCCTCTTGTATATTCATCATGACACCTGCACCCTGTAGGGATTCCATGAACATGCGTGAATCGATTTGGGGCTCAATGTCAAATAAGAGAGAATGACTTTGTGGGATCATTTTGCTTCCCCTGTGGCTCAGCCATGAAGAATCTACCTGCAATGTAGGGGGCCAGGAGACGCAGGTTCAATCCCTGGGCTGGGACGATCCCCTGGAAGGGGAGATGGCAACCCACTCCAATATTCTTGCCTGAGGAATTCCATGGACAGAAGAACCTGGCGGGCTGTCGTCCAAAGGGTCACAAAAGAGTCGGACAAAACTGAGCGACTGAGCACCGAGTGCCAAGTGATGTCATTTTGGGGGAAGGGATTTTCCCATATTTCTTCATCTGTCAAGTTTTGATCAAAGGCTGTCTTATGAAATTTTTTTTAACTTGACCTTTTAAAGAACTGCTTAACCAAAGAATGAGCATGATCAGAAGACTCAAGTCCCAGGGGTGTGGTCCGGAAACCCTTTGCCTCAGACTTGCTCGCTACCCCAGGCAGAGGCAGTACTTGGGAAGGTCAGAGAAGTTCCCCTATTCAGCGACTTCTTTAACTACAATTTCATGGATTGTTTAATTTTTTTTAATTTTAATTGACGTATTCTTTACATGCTCAGAAAAGGGCACGTATCTGCAAGTCAGTGAAATTCACAGACTGCACGTCAGTACATGAGGGGCAGCGCCCCCATCAGCCTGCACACCTAGCGGGCGCTCCTTGCAGACACCCCCACCCCACCCGGGAGTAAAACCACTGCCTTCACTTAATTCTAGAATCTAGTGCTAGGGCTCCAGTTTTGCTTTTCTTAACTACGTCGTGTTTCAAATGAAAGTCTTAGCAAGTTTCCTATGTTTCATAAGAATTTCTGATTGTAGTCTAACAAACAGAAATGTGGGGAAATCCAAGATTAAAATTGCCAAATGGCTTACAATAGCCAAAAATTCACTTTTCAGCCCCTAAGTGTATTTGGAGATAGTCCCAATTTAAAAAAAAAAAAAACACTGAAGTGATACAGCTTTGAAAA